GGATTGGAGAGAAAACAACTATGTGCAGACACCTCCGGCAGCCATGAGGTAAGAGAAATTCTTGGAGAGCTCCAGCTATCCTATTCTGAGACCTCTTCCCCTACCAGGTGGGGTCCTTCTGCCAGGTACCTGCTGAGGCTGGAGGGGGCAGGGGGGGGCTTCTTTTCCTAATACAGCATGATCCTGCTGGGTGCTGGTGGCTCATGACTGTAATTCTAGTTACTAAGGAGGCTAAGATCTGAGGATCAAGATTCAAAGCCAACCTAGATAGAAAAGTCTATGAGACTCTAATCTCCAATTCACCAGCAAAAAAACCAAAAGTAGAACTGTGGCTCATGTGGTGGGTAGAGTGCCAGCCTTGAGAGAAAAGAGTGGGGCGGGGTAGCACTCAAGCCCTCGGTTCAAGCCCCAGTAGTGGTATGAAAGAAAAACAAAACCAAACCCATTCCACCGTAATAGTAGATTCTGGGGACAAATGCCTTGATGCTGCTCAGAAGATCAAAGCCTAAAAAGTGCTAATGAGATGTCAGGAAGAGGTTCCTAGAAAGAAGGGGAAATTGGGAGCAATAAGGTCCACCTGTGACCCCCAGAGAAGGCTCTTTACAGCAGTTGCTAGCATGGCCATTGCTATCATCTGCATGGCCATTGGCAGTCTGTAGATGTTGGTAGAGGGGAGAGAAAAGCATCCTTCTATTAGCCTTTCCTTTTCTCTCTGTCCTTCAAAATGAGCTTAAATTCTGTCTCCCCTGACCCATGCCCACTCTGTAAACCATTGAGTCCTCTTAGGCCCCTGGTACTCCCAAAGCCCTTTGCTTATATTCTACCCAAGTCATCTTGTACTCTTTGAACCTGTCACACTGCCTTTTGTTACACGGTGAGCTCCTCAGGCCTCCGGCAACAGCTGACTTCCCTGTGTTTCTCTTGTTTCTCCTGCAGCAGCTCCCACGGGGCCCTGTACAGCAGCAGGACTCAATCAAATAGATCCAAATGCACACAGCACACGTGGTTTCACACCTGGGGGTGAGGGCTGAGGTGCAGACAGTAGGAGGTTGGAAAATGCACTCAAGTTGGACTCCTGAAGACTTGGGACTCATATTTATCCCAGACTATTCAACCAACTTCCTGAGGGCTTTGTATCAGCAAGCATCGAGGTGGCCAAGTCTGGAGGAGAGGCAGCCAACCCAAGGCTCTAAACCACACTGCCCAAAGCACTCTTTCTTCACAGGTGACTGGCGTTAGGGTAATGGATGATGGCTCTGTCCCCTCTTGGAGAATCTGTCTCCCGCCCCTCATGCAAGTGGGGTTATGATAGAGGAATTCTTTCTTAAACAGTTTTATTGATATATAATTCATATACTGCATAATATAATAACCCTTGTTCATAGTGTTATGCCATCTTATAGCATGCTTGCAAGGCTGAAAATTCCCATGTGTCCTGTCAATCATTCTGACAGGCCCATGTATAGGTCTTTATTCTGCCTGTTACCATAACTTATCCTAAGCCACCTTTCCTGCTCCCATTCCAGCCAGACTTAGCTTAAGACTTCTGAGATGTTAGGAGATGGAGGGCTGGCTTCTCTTACTTGATGTGCACAACTTCAGGGTCTCTTTGGGGCTTGGATGTCTCCAAAGTCTCGCTTTATATCCACACTCCCAAGCCCTCCTCCAAGTCTCCATCCTCCTCTTTCAGCAGATTGGTAGAGACCAATGTTTGGCTTCTGCTGCAGTGTATTACAGTGCGAGATCAACACGGAGGCCCCATCCGCCCTGACAACATAATTCACTGACTGCGAAGGGATATAATAAAGTCTGTTTATTACAGCAATTAACAGAGCAGCGCTTGTCGGCATGCTTTTCTGGCCACCAGAAAAGTGCTTACTCCAGGTGCCCCGATTCAGGAAACCATGCAACTTGAACTAAAATGAATCCAATTAGAGGTTTAGAAAATGAACCTACCATCCAGGACTCAGTTCCACAGAGGTAAAACCTCAGTGCAGGGGCAATCAAGATGGAGATCGCTATTCTACTGGGTTAAGATCTGGGCATAGGGGAGAGTGTTAAGGGAGAGTGGCTGGAGGCAAGGTTGATGGGGATACATTGATTGTATACATGTGGAGAAATATCATAATGGCTCCCCCACATTAATGTATGATAATAAAAATAAGAAGCTCTAGATGTGTCTCTATTCATGGTCTTGGTCTTGAGAATGTGCATATAATGCACCCCACAACCCAGCCACCCTGTGTGCAAGGTTCAAATCTCATTGACCTACATAGATATAGGTGGGGAACATTAGCACCATTGACTCTCAAGGGTCCTCTGCCACTGCAGTGGAGGAGGGGAGTGGAGGCAGGGATGGAGGAAGAGGACCAAAGGCTGGGCCAGGGAGAAGAGACAGAGGAGGAAAGCTTCGAAGAAATCTTTTCATTAAGCCCTGTTTTCTTGAGTGTCATCAAGACCAGAAGATCCAAGGAGGGAGAGTAACTTTTGGTACAGCACTTGTTAAGCATGTTCAAGGCTTTGGTGTGTGTGTGTGTGTGTGTGTGCGCATGTGTGTACCGAACCTGGGCACATTCCTTTTGTTCAACACTGACCATCTACCATTTGAGCCACTACTGCTCTACTTCAGGTTTTCTAGTTTTTTTTGGGGGGGGGGTCCAGTCGTGGGGCCTGAACTCTGGGCCTGGGCACTGTCCCTCAGCTCTTCAGCTCAGGGTTAGCGCTCTACCACTTGAGCCACAGTGCCACTTCTGGCTTTTTTCTTTTTGCTTATGTGGTGCTGAGGAATCTAACCCAGGGCCTCATGCATGCAAGGCAAGCGCTCTACCGCTGAGCCACCTTCTCAGCCCAGGTTTTCTAGTTTTTAATAGGAGATAAGAGCCTCAAGGACAGCCGGGCACCAGTGGCTCATGTCTGTAATCCTAGCTACTGAGGAGGCTGAGATCTGAGGTTCATGGTTCAAAGCCAGCCCGGGCAGGAAAGTCTGTGTGACTCTTATCTACAATTAACCACCAGAAAACCAGAAGTGGCGCTGTGGCTCAAGTCGTAGAGCGCTAGCCTTGAGCTGAAGAGCTCAGGGACAGTGCCCAGGCCCAGAGTTCAAGACCCACAACCGACAACAAAAGAAAAGAAGAGCCTCAAGGACTTTTCTGCCTGGTCTGGCTTTGAAACATGATCTTCAGATCTCAGACTCCTGAGTAGCTAGGATTACTTGCCACTGGCATCTGGCAAAGGCTTTTGGCTTTGTTTGTGTTTATTTGTAGTGCTGGGGATCTAACCCAAGACCTCTGCATACTAGGCAAGTACGCTACCACTTGAACTATAGCCACCAGCCCTTTTATTTTTGTTAGTGTATGTGGGGGGGGGGTGTTGGTCCTGGGGCTTGAACTCAGGGCCTGGGTACTGTCCCTGAGTTTTTGTGCTCCAGGCTTGTGCTCTGTCACTTCAGCCACAGCTCAATTTCTGACTTTTTTTTGGTGGTTAAGTGGAGACAAGAGTCTCATGAAATTTCTCTCCCAAACTGGTTTCAAACTGAGATCCTCAGATCTCAGACTCCTGAATAGCTAGGATTACAGGTGTGAGCCACAGGCGGCCTGCTTATTCTTATTTTTGAGACAAGATTTCACTGCAAATTTTGCTGAGGTTGTACTCTTAATTGAAAGTTCTCCTGCTTCTGACAGGTGGGATTACAGGTGTGTAACATGATGCCCAGCTATGGCTTTCAGTCTGATTCCCTAACACCATGAAAATAATTAAAGACCTAAAGCTCCTGGAGGGAATGTGGCTGTTTAGAGGGGGAGGGGTGTGCGTACTTTTCAGCTTGGAGAATATAGGCTGTCTTGTTTTCAGCAGCCTAAACAAAGACTTTAAGCCATTTGTCCTAGCTCTTTGGTGGATGGGTCAAAGAAAGAAAAGTATTGGTTTAGATTCTAAAGCTCACTGCTAATTAACCAAACTGAGTCCCCTGCATATTGCTTATACCAACAGGACATCTCTCTGAATCATAGATGGCATTCCCTCGAAGTTCTAACAGCCTGTCCTGAGTGGCTGGGAAAATAACCTGAGCAGTAGCTCTTCCTTGTTTTCTCTGCAGCAGAAAACATGGAACTGGGTACTTAAGCCAGGTAACAAACCAAAGGCTTGAATAGAGGCAAACCCCTGCCAAAGATCCCTCTGATTGAGGGGGGACTTTGTGTGTTCCCCTTTCACCATCATTCCTTTCCCTCCTCGGGCCTCTGGGGAGAGGTGCTGTGTTAAGGGATAAGGGCAGAAGGCAGCCTGGCCTCTCTGGAATAGAGAAAGTCAGAGCTTTGAGCATCATGAACAACGAGATAAAAATAGCAGTGTTACCATGGTGACGGAGGCTGGGAGAGTCCTGAGGATCTGTCTGGGTCCTGCTATCTCCCCCTCTCCCCTTCCTTTTGCTGGATGGAACACAAGAATGAACTGAGGGAGGTGGGAGGGCTTCCCAAGAGGGGAGGGAGACAGACAAACAGCCCACTAAGAAAACCTTGGAACTCCAGACCCTGGGGGCTTCTGCCAGAACTTAGACATCCAGGACACAGGCCTCTGGCTTTTAGACTTCCTTTCTCAGCATAAGGATTTTCCCGAGGGATGTCCTGGACAGTGCCCACCTACCCCTTCCTGGTGGGTGGTCTGACCTGGCTTCCCTGTAAAAAGATGAGGTTTCTGTTTCTTCTTTGTGATCTCTGGTTGTGACCCCCACAGGAATTGATAGAAGAGGCCCAGGCAGGACTGGCACAGTGGGCACTGACCACTCCAGGGACAGCCTGCGGGTGGAAGACTTCGTGCTGACAAGCCAGGTGTCTTGATCCTAGACTGCTCAGCAGCGTGGATGTGAAGAGTCGTGTGAACTAAGAACAAGGTGATGGTGACACCTGGCGTCTCTTGATCATGCTTGTGAGTCGGAGGAATGGTGTGTTCACTCCTTCGGAACAAGTTCTGGCTCTTGGTTCTTAAGTTCTGGTCAATTCAATCACCTCTGGGGTCGGCAGCCACCTTCAGAATGAGCCGGAGACTCCCCGAGACCAGTTTCTCCATGTCCACCAAAGGTGGCAGCCTGTGGTTTCTCTTCACTGGTGAAGGCTGACCTTGGAGTTGGTGAGCAGTTTACCTCTCAACATTCTAAGAGCCGCATGTGGACACAACAGGCCCAGTGTGGCCCCTGTACCATGTGCCTTCCTGTGAGGTAGGGAGGGAGCGAGAAAGCAAGTGGAGGAAGCAGTTTGTCCTCGGCTAGGAGTCAGGCACAGCACAGAGAGGCTGACGCTGTCCACCCGAAGGCGCTCACTAGGACAATCCCACGAGGACAGCCTCAGCCAGAGGGAAAACGCACAGTCAGTCTGTAGACAGGCCAGACTTGGGCTGAGGCCCTTCCCCTTGCAGAAGGCAAGGAAAGAACGAAGGTGGAGTGGTTCCATTAGCTTATAGACAACTACGTGAAGGGAAACCCAGGAGTTACATAAGTCTGGGCCCTGACCTGAAGGTAGTGAAGGAGAGGAGAAAGGGAGACCAAAAGAGGGCAAGAAGGTGGCACTTGAGACACAATCTGGAGTCCCAATCCAGATGCTTAGACAGACTCCGCTGGGTGTGGCTGGAGAAGCACCCTGCCCCCTGCTGGATCATAAGACACCTGCAACCCGTTTCCGCAGCCTGGAGCCCCACTAAGCTCAGCACCTCAAACCTACAGACCTGAACTCTACAGAGGACTTAACAATCTCCCTATGTATTTCTATGGGTCCATATGCTACATTCAAAAAACCCTCCCCTGGAAGTGGAAAAGGAAACTGGCATTCTGGTGGAAAGGGTCCAACCTGAGATAAGACCTCCACTGGGGTCCCAGACAAATTGCATCCCAGGACCCCAGCCGGCCTCCATACTTCACCCTGCATTCAGTAACCCAAAGCCCAAGAAGAAGGACTTTCCCTTTTACGGCTCAGGGATGCTCAGCCCTCCATCCTTCTTCAAGGTGGATCTGGTACTGATCCACTAGCCAGGACAAAAGCTGTGTACCCCCTGCCTCATCCCAAAAGCTCTGAAGCCCGACTTCGATGGAGTCCCTGGAAAAAGAAGTTGAAATAGAAATGAATCTTTGGAAAGGAGTGAGACTCCAAGCAAGGTGGGAAACGAGGCTCATCTGGGAAGGAACAGGAAGGCAGAGGGAGGGTTAGAAGTCAGAGGTCTGACTGCATGCGGTGTGTGGATACGGGCTGCTTTGGCTTTTTTTTTTTTTTAATTACACCTGTCCTGTGCTCACCCAAGGGCACAGAGGTGGAAACAGGTTTCCAGAATCCTTTCACAAGTGTCTGTCTCCCTGAGAAGGAAAACAGAGGGTCAAGATAATACAGCGCTGGCCCTGCCTGAGGCCTGGATGAGGAGGCCACCAGCTTGGAGGCCAAGCACAGCCACGGGCAGGCGCTAGCGGGCATCTAGACAGCCTTGACCTTGGAACCCCACCCACGTTCCCATGGCAGGGTGGGAGATATCCCATGTCCTTGGCAAGTCCAGGGCGCTATCTTGGGGGAGGCAGCTCTGAGTGGACCCCAGCCAAATCCCGCAGCTGCCCAGACTCTGGCCCAGGGTGAGAGCATCCCCCCACTCCCTACCCCCCTTCCCAGGCCCGCATTCTTTACTCTCCTGACCTTACCTCGGGGTGAGGCCCTGTGGTTGGGACATAATACCCAACACCTCTGAGTCTCAGGGATAGAATTTCATCCTCCCCTTCCAGAGGACTGCAGGCTCGCAGGCCACCACCAGGGACAAGGGCTCCCAAGGGAGGGCTTCAGTATTAGGGAACCTCCCCACCCCCACGTTTTTCTGCCCTTTCTCTCTGCCTCACTCAAGGCCTTTGCTGTCCAAGACAGAGAACCAGGAGGTTTCCCTCTGTCCCTTGTGACCCCACTAGTGTTTATTGCTGAGTCTTGCTGTTTCCTTGAGAGTAGGGCTTCTGTGTATAATTCTTTGGATATAAAAGGAAATAACAGATTGTTGGAGGCTGGGGTGGGAGGGTGTCCAAGGAGAGGGAGGACAGAACTTTTAAGCCTTAGTGAAGCCTCACCGAGACAACCTTGATCCCCCAAATCTGCTCAAAGCCCAGGAAATGCCTGACTGTGGGCATACGCCAGGCAGGAAAGGCGGCCAGGTTCTGACAAGCCACAGAAGGGGCCTCTGCCCTCCCCACTTGCCTGGAGAAGCACGCATTCCTGGAAAGAGGGGTTCAGCCCCTCCTTCTCTAACAGGCCACAGTCAGATAAGCTATTCTGTCCTGGGGTGCTGGGGGGGGCGGTACCTGGGAGGATCATGGCAGGCTCACTGAAGCAACAGAATCTGCCTGAAGACTTCTGCTGCCAGGGTGCCTGTCCCTGTGCCCTTCTAGCACCTGAGAGAGAAGTCCTGGCACAATGACAAAGTGCAGGGAGGAAGGAGAGCAGAAAATGGGAGGGAGGAGAAGGAAGGTTGCTTTTGTTTTTTCTTTCTTTCTTTTGATTTCTACCCCCTAGAAATGGGCTGGGGCTGGGCTGGGGCGAGAGTGAGGAAGGTTGATGGGTTGAGAAGATGAAGAAAAAGGTCAAGGTCAGTCCTAGAGGCTCCCCCCCCCACCCCCAAGTTTCCCCTGAAGGCACCACATGCAAATAGATCCCCTTTATGGCTTCTGAGAAGGCAGGGGTGAGTTGGGAAAATAAAAGTGGGCACACAGTTTAGTTCCCATAGTCCAGCTCCTGGTAGATAGTCCCGGAGGGGGTCAGTGCCCTGGAGACAGACCTCCCCAGATCTTTGTTCTGCTAATGAGCCAGACATCATGGAAGTGGGGAGAGGGGCCTGTCCAGGGCTAGGGCTGAGGAAAGGCTGCCCTGGGGTGTTGGGCGGAGCAGAGCCCATCCCTTGCCTCTCCTCTTACTGCCCATCTCTGGCCTCTACCTTGGTGCCTGGCCCAAGAGGAAGCTGGGAAGAGCTGGGGTCCTGAGGCCCTGCCTGGGACTCCATGAGGGTCAGGACAGGGCTGTTCCGGGGCTCTCTGGCAGAATAGCTAGTTTCTTCTCATCTAGAAATCTCTCCCCCAAGGCTACTTGTCCCTGTGGGAGGGGCTACCAGAGAAGAGTCAGAGCCCTTGGGGCCGGGCCAACTTCTGCTCCTCTGGAAGGTATGCAGCCGGTCCTGAGGTCCCCCCTTGTGTGACTGGGGCCTTTCTCCAGGGAGACGGGAAGATCGGAAGTTAATAAGTGTGGGCATGAGAAGGCCTGTCAGGTGCCCAGGAGGCCGATGCCCTCCGATTAATCAGGAGCCAGCTAAGAGAAGATGGCTTCTGTGCCCAGCGTCAGCAGCAGTCAGCAGCACAAGTTCAGCCCTGGGACCTGACAAGGAGCCCCTGGTTCTGCTCACACGGCTGTTTCCCGCTCTCGGTGAATCTCTTCCTTCTTCCTCTTCATCTTGCAGAAGCCGTGGAGGCCACAGAAACAGGCGAAAGTGAACTGGGGCATGCCCTGGGGCAGGCTGGGGGGTGCTCACCACTGAAGATCTGCAAAGGAAAGGCAGGGAGGGAAGATGGGAGGGAGAAAGGCACAAGAGAGAAGCAAGCTGGGGTTAAATGTTCCCAGAATCCTCTGCGCTCCCTGAGGCAGCCCAGGCCCTGCTAGCTGCCACATGGAGCCGCATCATCATCCAATAACAGGCTCTTTGAAACCTGCGTTGTTTCCTCATCTGGAGGAAGCTGAACTCAAGCCCAGCTGCTGCCTGCTTTGTCCCTGGCCCTCTGCCTCACCTCACCTCATCTGAACACACCTGTAGCAGGCGATCAGGAAGCAAGCTGATTCAAAATAAGCTGTGGCTATGGCACCCGGGTGTGTGTGTGTGTGTGTGTGAACAGGAAGCAAGCTGATTCAAAATAAGCTGTGTCTATGGCACCTGGGTGTGTGTGTGGGGGGGGGGAGGTGTTGCCCTTTCTCCTTGCGGTCTTGAATCAAGTGTTCCAGATGTAGGAGGACGTGGTGCTTAAAAGATCCTCCATCCAGCCTCGCCTCTGCCCAGACACCTGGAATGCAGTCACCAAATCCTTCCTTCCCTAACAGCCCCAAGGTATGCGATTGCTTTGCGCATCCTGTGCTGCTCTACGTAACTAACCCACATTCTGGGCCTGGACATGCAGAGAACAGACAGTGAGAGTTCTTCGGCCAACAGGCTACTTTATTTAGCACCTATGCTGAAAACAGAGATTAGGAGTAGGCATAAAAAGAGTTCACATTATTTCCTTTCTTTTTTGCACTCTTACGGAGACGAACCCAGGGCCTCTCACTTGGCTTTTTAACTTCGGGCTGGTGTTCTACCAACTGAGCCTCAGCTCCACTTCTGGCTTTTTTGTTGTTGTTGTTGTTGACTAACTGGAAATAAGGAGTCCCACAGACTTTCCTACCCAGGCTGGCTTTGAACCATGAGCCTCAGGCCTCAGCTTCCTGAGTAGCTAGGATGACAGGTGGGAGCTACCAGAACCGGATGATGACGTCATTTAATCTCTAGCACAAAAGTCATGTTAAGGCAGGGGCTGAAGCTGAGTTTGTCCAGGCATGGCTCGTTGTCCCACATCTCTAGCTGGTCAGCCCTCTGACTCCACAGGAGTCAGGCAAGGGCCGCTCTAGCACCTGCAGGTATCTGACTGCAGATAGATGGGCTCAGGCTGCCAGAGCAGCGCCTTACCCCCCCCCCCATCTAGGTTTCCCTGCCCTTGCACCTGCACGTTCCTTCTGTTTCCGTTCCTTGGCTCTGAGCCTGCTGATGAGGAAGCAGAAGAACTTGTAGGTTAGCTCAGAGATGGGATCTGGGAACAGAAAGGGATGCCAGGCTTGCATCCTGACCCTGGTGAAATGGTTTCTCTGTGTAGGAAAAGCATGGGGAACAGACATGTGTGTGAAATGAAGGGCAGAGGGGAGAGAGGGAGGCCTGGGGGCGAGGTCAGAAGGTTTGAAAGAAGGCCACAGCACCTCCCTTGGTGGGCAGAGATGGCATGGGTGTCCTGTGCCTCAAATGCAAGACACACCTGTAAAGTGGCT